GAAGTTCTCTCAGTCCAAGTCGTCATCAGAAAGTTATAATCAAAATATAAAATATAAGCTGTGATACTCGCTTAGTTTCATGCACAAAGCTCAAATTTCTCGTTATTTATTCATTGTGGAAAAATTTTACAATTTTCAAATGATTGCACAGCTAGGACAAATTCCTGTGACAAAATGAATCCGTTACGTAATAAATTGCGTTTACCGGATGAGAATTATTGCATTCAATGTGGTACTGCTGTAAGCAATCGGTAGTGTTTATTATGCTGAACCATTTGTCGAATATGTGATGGTAAACTTGTTCTATATCGCGCGGCTTTGTACCAATGAATAGCCAGACTACCAGATAACGTTTAGCTCTATCACAAGAAAAAGGGCAAAAAAACGAATATATTCGACACCTTTTCTATGATTGCTTTGAATTTGTATTAGCTTAAAAATAGTAGTTCATACTTGAAACGTTCAACACAGAAAAGAGTGTTTTGAAAGGTGGTATAAGAGAAGATTTTGAAACATTTCGACAGGGAGTCGTATATACAGTGTCTCAAAACTTTAATAGTTACTTTTAAGTATTCTTCCAATCATTGAACTTTTAAATGCATGCTTAAAGACTTTTGATGGGTTTATAAACAGACTAAATGTCATTAATTGTGGTGAATACGAAAACAAGTAAGTACCAACAATGAGATTTCTTAGCCATATTTTTTGCCATTGTTGACAATCAATAAAGGAGGCAAGCATCAACTGTGGTAATGAACATAGAATCATTAACAATGGACTAAGTAACAATTCATATCTGTCTTTAAGTTGTTTATAGATAGCTGAATGTAAATTTTGTTCATGGATTCTTGCTTTACTTCGAGCTGCTGTATAAATAACAATAATTGTTGCATATAAGTTCATCGTAAGTGGTATTAAATGATTTATATATACATGAATATTTTCGATTGTTTTCCATAATGATGTTGGATAGTCAAGAATACAAACAAATTGTTTAGTAATTATCATTTCAGTTGGATGACGAAAGACAATAGCAAACGATGTTGTAATAAATACGAGAAGAATAATTACTATGAATAGTAAATATTCTTTGAATGATACTTTTGTCAATATATTATTGTTTACTTTCATTTTCAGTGCCATATGTACACGAGTCATTGATAATAAACCAATTGTCCATTTGCTTGAGTATGTAAAACATAGTAACAGATAGGATGTTGATTTGCATAAAATAATATTTTGTTGTTGATTTAAAATAATGTATAATATTTGTATAAGTAAATAAACAAGTGCCAGTTGGTTTATTATTGATATGATCATAATATACCTTACAATAATTGAACGTTGAATGATTTTTTGTACTAATGTAACGTATGTACATAAATTACTAATAAAGCCTACGAATACCATTAAACTTGCAATGGATAACCATATTATTGTTGAAATTGACAAATTTCTCGTTTCTGGTATCATATTTTCTTCTTCCACGTTATCTTCAACAAAGAGAAAATAATTTACAGAAAAAATTTGAAAAAAACATTACCGAAATGTTGCTTATATCGTTAAATTGTTATCTTTCTAAGGTGTCACTGCTTCACTTAAAACGGTTTTCTCAAGGTTTTCGGAAGACCAAGTCTCCAGAGATCCGCTAGAAACCTCAGAAGGAGTTTTCGTCGAATTCTTCAATACTTTTTTACGTACGAGACCATTTTTCATCCATATTGAGTTAAAAGTCAATTTTTGTTTACACAATGACTCGTCGGATTTAGGCTAAAGTATAGTGGAATATCATGGCAACGAAGAAAATTTTTAATAAAGTGACTTGTATTTTTGTTGGCCACAGTTCGGTGATCACAAGCGAGTAGCGAATTCGGCTTCATTTCTTCACACAAAAAACTAGATAGGTTTAGAAAGAAACTACTTTCGACGATTGCCCCTGATCAATCATCTCTAAGATATATTTTTATCTAAGCAACTCTTTTCTAGATTCAGTTTTCAATGCTAAACCCGAGCAAAATGATTTCGAAGGTTCCAAACGAATTGAAGTCTGCGAAAATGATTTTTATCGAAATATAGGTGTTTTTTCAAATTTTACATCCTTCTGGTATATACCCTTTAAAAAGCTCTTTAAAAAGTTAAAACACGTGTGTACTCATCTCGACGAGCTCGATACAACGATACAGAGTTGTAATCGGTACCTGCGAACGACCAAGCAGTACACGGTATTAAGGGAAAGGACTGAGAAAAATACTTATCTCGGATTGTTCAGCGTAGAAAACCAGGTCCCTTGAAACGTTTACTGCTGGAAATTTCTCTCGGCAACCACACGTGCGATCTGAGCAAGAATTTCGAAGGAAATTGCGCATGTTGATAAATAGTTACGATGCAATTTGCCGTTTGAACAAGACTCTTACCAAAGTCCATTCACTTTCCTGGGTAATCTTGTATAAGAATTTGATACGAATCCCATAAGATTCTTATGTGAAGCAGATTAGATCCTATCACCCACCCATGAGGTTTTTTTATCGATTGAAACGGTGTCCGAACGCGCGTAAACGACGAAATAACAGAAACGCATTCAGTCGATGCTTAAAACGCGTTTGGTATATCGATTAAACGGCTAAAAATCGTGTTTCAAGCATTGACTGAACGCGTTTCTGTTATTTCGTCGTTTACGCACGTTTGGACACCGTTTCAATCGATAAAGAAACCTCATAGGCGGTTCTCTGTAAGATTCTTAACTGATGCTTGTATAAAAATCGATGTCTGGGGTAAGTCATAACTATGCGATACCGTTTCAAAAAGGTGGATGCAAGACTTTTTGACTAACAAATAACAGTGCTGAAAAAAGTATATGGTCCGAATTGGTTGACCATCGTGATTCATTATACGACTTTTTGACAATATTAGCCCCATGGATAGTCTATTTTATCCGAAAAACGTTTAGTTTAGCTATTAATGTATCAAACAGTACACACTGCAAAAGAGAACTTATAGCCCTACATTGATCTTAGGTTGTTGTTTGAACAAATGAATCAATGGTTTGAGTCCATTGATACTATTCCTTTTAGAAAGTCTAACTTGGTTAAAAGAATGTATAACTGGATTAGACTAGCGGATTGTATTTTCAATCAGGTCGATCTGGTTAGCCCTGAATTATTTCTTCATCTTACCATCATTCATTTTTGCTTGATAATCATCATTTTGTAATAGAATTTCTAATGAAAATGCAAATTGATTTGTTCGATACTGACATATGGATCCATAGGTACATTTTGGACAACGGCAAATAAAATTCTCGAAGTTCATACGTTTTTCGCCTATAAAACATTGGCCTTGATTTAAACAAAATTGACAACGATCATAATTAAAATCATAGTAAAAACATATTGCACGATAAGTGGTACTGTTACAAAAACATAAATAATACAATTGTGGATCATAAAAACATATTAACGAGGACGAATGATTTTGATGACATGGACGGTGATATTCTTTTAATGTTCGTATTATTTCACTTATTGATGAATAATTTTTCGGAATTAAATTTAGATCATGTACATGAAAACATTTTGTTATTTTACTTATATTCATATGAGATATATTTTTACTAGTAGTAGAATAATATAATGCCGATAAACTGTCTAATCCATCATTACTATAATTTTTCAATAGACCTATTGCTGGTAAATAAAAATCATTAAAAACGAGTACGTTATTCACCATTATTTGTTGACTTTTTATTTCAAGTATCATTGTTTTCATATTAGGATTTATAAACTGAACAACTGCTGTGCCGATAAAAGATGACATTGATTGAATAATTAATTGAGCCATTGAATGTTTACAATAATCTCCAAAATATCCTGATTGACAAAGACAATATGAAACATGTTGATAATATTGATTCATATAAGCTAAGCATGTTGCATTATTCTCACACAATTGGCATGTATTTTTATTTGTTTGTAAATGACATGTAATACCATAATAAGATAATGAACAAAGACAATAAAAGTAATGGTATTGTCCAGTATGATAAAACGTAGGAAAACATAGGCTATTTGTATTACATGTATCGTTTTTACACGGAGATAAAATTTTTTCACAATAATATTCATTGGGTTTATTCACTATTCGATGACATCGTTTGCTGCTATCGAACTGTGATCGTTGTTTAATATCAATTGTCAATAGTGTTGTTAATCGATATGCTGGTAAAAATGGATATTTAATATCATATTCCCAAACAGATTTTAATTCAATATTCGTATCATTGATATTATAGTGTAGAAATCGAATTTTATAATCATTTGCTGTTGCTTGTCGAATATTTTTTAATAATGATTGTGGATAGTTTAAATAGATCCGACGTTTATATAATTGATGTTGTCTAAGAAAATTATGTATTGTAAAAAAATGATCAATTGTATGATTTTTATATTCTAATAATATGCCAATTCGTATAATAGGTGTTAAATGAATTTTTGTTTTTTGTGATGAAAAATTCATCACTGTACTAGTATTGATCATAAATACAATTGTAATACGATGATTGTGGAATTCACAAAATGTACCGTAAAATGCTGGTGGACATAGGCAACTTAGAAAGTTATGACGTTTTACAACCAAACCATTATTACAGAGCCAAAATGATGACATAGCGTCTCCTGGTTGTATTATGGGTTCTTCGATGCTATTGCTCGATGATAAATAACGCATCTTTACATTATCTCTTGATGGTAAACAAAAGAGTTCATCCCAACCGTATGATTTTTCTGGTGTACAATCCCCATTACTATCACAACGTTTCGTTAGTGATATACATGGTCCATAATCGTTTGCAGGTATTCGACAGGCAAATGTACCTGGTTGACAATTTAACTTAACGTTTCTACCATCATTGCACCATGCTATTGATTCATCAATACCTGATGGACAATGCAGAATACCATCGCATAAATTCATTGATTCTATACATGTACCAGTTTCTTCACATAACAGACGATTATTTAATGGATAACCATCTGAACAAGCAAAAACATTTCGTTCTTCTAAACCACCAGCACAATCAATAATACCATCCCCTACTTGTTCACAAGGTATTGATATTAGTGCTTGATTAGTTTTATTTCGACAAGTTGCGTAAAATCCAGAAATTTTTTCTCGACATTCTTCATCTCTCAGATTATTAGAATAGCATTCCCTCTCATCACTTCCGTCCGGATAATCCCAGTCTCTATCACATTTCCATTCGTTTAAAATGCAATTTCCATTCCAAACTGATGATACATTATACGTATTGTTAAATTTAATCCATAGCTGATCATCCTCACATATCCAATCATGACATTCTTGTTCATCAATACCATTGCGCATGTCCCAAATGGAATTACATAAACTATTGAATGGTATTAAAATTTGTGAAATTTGAGTTTTGTATCTATTTAATAAATCACAAGCAAATGTGTTCACTTGTTGACATTGAAAACTTTGCCAATTTAATCGCAGACTCATTTCATCTGTGCCATCAGGACATTGTTTATCGCCATCACCTATAAAAAAGGGCATTCGTATAAGTCACATAATCAGTAGAAGCAAAGGACTATTTTACCAAGAAAATGTGCCATAATCATTGCATTTGTTTTTATCTCGCAATTATATTTATCGTGTAAATATTTTGTATTTAAATTTTGATGTAATGTAAAGTTTTCATCGGATTGATCTATACAATCAATAAATCCGTCTAGTAAACGATACTTTGATATACATTCGCCAGATAATAAACATAAATAAAAGTTTTGTGTATCATTACAATAATCAGGATCTCCTGTTGTTGTTGCATTTTTGTGAACACAAAATAAATATTCAAATGGTGGATATGGATATTGTTTTTCATAAATATCATCATAATATACGCAATACTTTTCTTTATTCAAATCACGTATCGTTTCTCTACCTCGACATGTAAATGTACCGTTGAAACAGAATAGACCCGGTCGAGCTGCCATTTGTCTGTGTAATAAATCAATATGACCCAAGTAGCTAAATTGTTTATATAGTGTGTATGTTTGTATGAATGGTGACAAAACGTATGCTGATAATGAATGCTTATAAATTGTCTCGTTATTTTCAAAACATTGTTCAATAACATATCGAAATGCCTGTTCTTGAAATTCAAATATTGATCGTGGTTGACATACCGTTCTGACATTTAGCAAGGCGCATTTGATCAATTTTAAACAACGATCATTTTCAGACTCAAATTCCATAAATTCGGCATCATCAGCTGCATAAGCACAACGACCATCTTTCATGGTCCAAGATGATTTCAATTCACATACGTGTAAACTATCCTGGCGATTTTTGCACCTCGACTCAAGATCAAAACGTATGTCCCATTTAAAGCAATGACCGTCACCGCATGAAAATAAATCTTTGGAACAAAAATGCTCATGACAGTCAATTGTTGCTGTCTTATAACATGACTGATAATCATAGTGTTTTCCATCTGCTAATGATTTTTGTTCGTCTGTTGTATCAAGACAATCCATGTCACCATCGAACAGGAATTGTCGATTGATGCATAAACCATTTCTACAACGATACTCAGTTTCAAAATTACATTCATTCATTTCTACTTGTCGACATTGTTTTTCATCTTCACCATTCATACAATCCCATTCTCCATCACAAATATCGCGCCAATCAATACAACGAGAACAAAGTTTTGTTACAAATGGATAACATTCGGATCTACGATTGACTGGAAGATCTCGCATACGATTGGCGTATCCATTAATTAATTGTTCAAAACTATCTAATCCTATTGAAGAGTCGCCATATGTATATTCACAATAACGACCGTAGCGTTTAGACGATAACGAACAATTGCATATAAACTCAAATTTATCATCATTGTTATACCTTGAATAATAACTAATTAGATCAACGGGTATATTCCACTGAAATAACTCCTCATTAGTTATATTCAATTCTTTCAATTTTTTAAATGATATTTTTCTATTATTAATCTCATCGAAACATTGATCATATTTAATATTAATATTGTCCTGTTCAACTCTTAAACAATAATACAAATAATCCTCTACGTTAGTATCATTGTTGTTTAATAATCGAACATATTGTTGTGGTGACAATATGCAATCCTGATACATTATATCAAGATGATCAGGCAAAACTGCATATTCCATTCTGTTCTGCTCTTTTGTACTTATTACGAGTGTTAACGTAATGACTGTTACTAGCATATCGTTCATGTTTAGATAGAATATTTGAAAAATGTTGAACATACCTCCGTTCTTTATTTGTTCAGTAAAAAATAACCAATCTTGATTATTATATCTATCGTAAAGGCATCATGATGCTATAGGATATTTAATGTCCATACATTTAGAACCGTACATGATAATTTGTTTCCTAAATCATATACGTGTTTTATGTTTGGTGTTATGACAGTATTGGAGAGGACAAATAATTCTTAACAGTAGCATTCTGACAGAGAGAAATTCACTCTTCTTTTCAAACTTTTTTTCTACTACAGAGTGTGACAAATTTCGTCTGTTTGCGTCTAATAATGTCACGTTTCAAACTCTTTCCCATGTTTTTCTTTTATTTCTAAAATCAATCAATTCCTCATAATAGTGTTCGGCATGTAGGGAAAAGGAGGCAGGGACGTTTAAAAAGGCATGTGGAGAGAGAAAAGAATAGATCAAGGTTTCTCATCACACGACGGACACAGGCCTAGATAATATTTCAATCTCATTTTGAGCAACGGTGTTAGAATATACGAAATTGTATTCCAAAATGATTTCTGACTGTGATGGAGCTAGGAGTTTAATTTGATGACATAAGCATAATATATATCCGCCTGGGAAAAAATAGTTGCAGTCGTCTTTTTGAATTTATTATGAATATACAATACATTGTAGAAAAATAATTATATATATTCTAGTAGCGCTTAAAATTCTCTATTAGTCTCTACTTTCACAGCTTGGATACGAAATTATTTGCTAGCAAAAAAGTTTGAATATTGTTAATACCTCCCAGCTATCACATTCGCAGTAATTGTAACAGGTGTGGCCTCTCAATATTTTCTATTTTTCTCGTCTTTCTTTAGGACTCAAATGTTATTTTTAAAAAGATGCGCGAAATACTCTACTAAACTATATCGAAACTTTAATTTCAGAGCTTCAATCAAGGTGTAGCAAAAGTAAGAACTAAGTTCATTCTATTTTCAAATGAAGAGTAGTTAACATAAATTTCAGTGCTGTTCTGTGATTAAGGAACAATTTTTCTGTTTGTTTTAATACTACTGCTATAGGCGTCAAAATACAAGGCCGATGGTTATTTTCTGAATAACTCAAAAGGAATAATAGAAAGCGGATTGCGGTTTACACCATTTGCCAAGGCCTGAAGCGATGTTTTCATTCAAAAAGTGAATTCAGTCATATGCCTTTTTTATTTTAGCACAATCTTACGTTTTGGTCTCAAATTATGGCTTAAATAGGAATCTTTTGATCATCGATAGCGTCGTTCAGTCGTTTTCTTGTCATATTAAGCTTGATCATGATCGATGTTTAAAAAGGCGATTATTTCAGTAAAGGTAAAAGCGAAATTTGTTTCGTTTTTACTTGAGTACACTCCAAGCTTCACAGAGAGACAAAATTTTCAATTATAGCGTTCATTTGCTAATTCAGGACTGTTTTATTCTGATTTCTGATCAGCAGAACCGTTGTAATGCTCTCTACTAAAATTGGAAACCCATCTAGCTTTTATACATAATAGATGAAACGATTTTTGCTACTACATTCTAACTATCATATATTGGATAAAATGTAAGCATGACTTATTTCTTTTATTTCGCTACGTTACTAGGATCAGTGTAAAAAGAAACCCAAAACTTTGGTTTTAAATCCAAATTTTCCACTTCAAAAATGAATTTTTAAGCAAAAAAATGATGATGATAGCGTCATTCCGTTTTACTGATCGATATTTTATACGTTGTTAAAGTACAGTTCCCTGATTAGAGTGCTACAGGCTTTCTTTCGAGATAGGGCTCTGCATTTACAAAGAATATCGTGTGGGCGATGTGGATGGATAATGCAAAATAAAGCTACCCAGGCATGAAAACCATCTTGTTATATCCGCCTGGAAAAAAATAATTTCAGTCGTGTTTTGAATTTATTATGAATATACAAATACCATATACGTGTTTTATGTTTGGTGTTATGACAGTATTGGAGAAGACAAATAATTCTTAACAGTAGCATTCTGACAGAGAGAAATTCACTCTTCTTTTCAAACTTTTTTTCTACTACAGAGTGTGACAAATTTCGTCTGTTTGCGTCTAATAATGTCACGTTTCAAACTCTTTCCCATGTTTTTCTTTTATTTCTAAAATCGATCAATTCCTCATAATAGTGTTCGGCACGTAGGGAAAAGGAGGCAGGGACGTTTAAAAAGGCATGTGGAGAGAGAAAAGAATAGATCAAGGTTTCTCATTAGGGGAAAACATGAAGCGAGAAACACCGATTTCTACGCGACGCAAAACGCTACTTCTTGAGGAAAAACATGATGTTCTTCAGGAGAACCACCGATTTCTTCAACAGAAAAACATGAAATTCCTGTGGACTAACACCGCTTTTTTCACGGAAAAGCATGACGTTCTTGCGAAGCACCACCGACTTGTCCAAGGAAAAACATGAAGTTGCTTTACGTGCATCTTATGTGGATTTACTAAGTCCAGAAATTTTTGATGTAATAATCGAATAATTATTTGCCATTTGTTTTGTTCTTTGACTCACATCTTTTTCGTTCAATAAATTAGAATCTTGTATGATTTTAGAATGTTGAAGAGATAAAATACCATTGCAAGATGGATTTGGAAATCTGTTGCTATTATACCGAATTGTAAATGATTTTTTGGCTAGCTTATAATTAATGTTTTTATTAATTGATAAAATTGATCTTAAACAGCAAATGATAATTTTTCGAATTGAATTAATTGATGAACATTGGATGAATGAAAACAACGATGAATAAATGATCGTACTTTCATCCAATTCATCGTTTCTTCAAAAAATAATAATTAATTTAATTGTGATATACATTTTGTATCAAATAATAATCTTTCGGTTGATATATAGATCTGTAATGATAATATAGACATTCGATTGATGTTTCAATAATCATAAATTTATGCAATTATGTTGAGATAAATATAAAAATCGATTTTTCGTGGCAACCATTTTTTCTTTAGTCGTGACAACCGCTTTGGTTGGATGTACAGAAAATGGGTATCCTAACTTTTGATGAAAATCTCATGCAGCCGTTTGGCTTGAAGCTTGTTCAATTTGTTCTTGATGGAGTAAAAGGATGGCTTTAGCAAAATCATAGAAACTGTCGAATTATGTTTTGTTCGGTGCAATATGAAAAGATTGTGTTTGTTTTAACTTACTGATGAAACGACTGCATGATGATGTAAGGCGCCGGAATTTCGAAACTTAAGGAAAATTTATTTTTGTAATATTTATACATGGTTGAATAGAGCTCGTTGAGCTGAACAAGAATATGTGTGTTTTAACCTTTTGAATCAAAATTCCAATATCGAAAATTTGAAAAAACGGCTTTTTTTTAAAAACTTTAACTCAATGTGTTGGGAATCTTGGAAGTGTTTTATTCTTGTTCTCCGTAAAAGACTGAATCTGAAAAATAGTGTTTCGATACTATTCAACTATAATATGATCTAAGCAATTTTAGTTTTTCATCAATAGCCAAAATCCCGTTCATGTTGGCGCAAAAAGCTTCAAGTCTCTCTGGAGATGAAGCCAATATTTTTATATCATTCTACTCGCCGTATAGCACTAATAAAGTTACACATCGGTTTTGGAGAATATTGTTCCGTTGTTGAAAAAATAAATATTTTTGAAACAGGTAGCACAAAACGAGAAAATTCACTTGTATTTTGCAGTTTTCACCGTCAAACTTCCAGCCTTTTTTACAAATATGCTTTTCTTTCGCAACTATAATTCATGCTACTCCAGTTCTGTTTAACTTGCATTTCTGAAGACGATAGAATTTGAATATTTGAATTTTCATGGCTTCATTTCAAAGTTTTGATTCTCAACTATTTGGATTCGACAATTTCAATGGATGATAAAATTCTGTAGGTTCTAACCAGCTTTAATTTTTGGGTAAGTTTTGGTAGTATGTTAGAAATGTACCTGTAGTAACAGCAATTCTGAACAAATTAGATGCTCTTCGGTAATGTCGCCAAATATATCCATCAGGGTTTAGTAAGCACGGACGATATTTGTATCTGCTTGCATTGTAGGGATTGGGACTATAATATGATCGCTTCATGTTCGTATGATTATTCAATAAATTACCAGAAGAATTATAAATAGCTCTGTCGTTCTGATAAGGCCAGTGATTACATAATGAACTAGGTAAATCAACGAGTATCGTTATTATACCTTCACAGAATACTTCTGGATATAAGGACATAACTAAAGCAACCATTCTTACAAATGTCCGTAATTGATTATCAGTAAAAGGAATATAAATTACATCTGAATAACTTGATGTTAAAACATTGTCGGAGTCATACAATATCTTGAATATGTTTCGATAGTCTTCTGGCAAATCTGTATTGAACAGCTTACGAAAACGTTCTGATCTATTTCTGTAATGCCACCAAATTCTTTTGCGCCTAGTTTTCCACTTGTAAGATTTACATAATGAATAGATGAAGCTATCCAAAATTCATCCAATGAATAACGTTCGGGATGAGCGAATACTTGGGTGAAATTAAAGAAAACATCATCAGACAGATATAATAACCCGTGTAATGTTGAGAATATATCAGATTGTTTTAGTCTATCTCCAAACTGTGCACACGATGAAATACATTTGTATTGATAAAAGCCATGCGATGCAGTAGTACATTCAACATGATAAAGATTTGATTGCTTAAGATGTGACAATGTACTGTTAACTTGTTGTAATAGCAGATGTTTGTTTCGCATTAAACTGTTTTAATATGACTTGATTCTTCCGCGATAATTTGTCTAATGGTGACGGTGTAGAATGATCAAATACTGGTGTATCAGAGAATAATAAGTTAATATTGACTTTAAAGAATGGCTACTCGCATCGGGATCATAATTATAATTAATACAAATGGCAATTGCTTGTTGTCTTAAAATCAATGGTAGCGACGACGAGTTGCTAACGTTTTTCTCTTGGGGATCTTTCAGTGAGGGATAAAGCTTGTAGAAATGTGCTTCATCTAGTTGTGCTGGTGTCAGTTGAGTTTGTCGTAATAAAAGAAACAGTTGAGTTTTAAATTGATTTGCGATTTTGTCTCCGGGAAAGTCAGGATGGACTGACTACTGATTCTGAATCTAATACTCTGCTTCTAAGCCTTTTTTGGATGGGTCTAAAAAAATCAGGTTTTTTCTGAAGATTTATTCCATATTTTCGATTGAACGCATTGTAGTTTGTAAGACACATCGGATTTCCTATGTATACAAATCTTGAGTACTACTGAACTAGTTTTATTAGAATTATAAGACGTTTACAAAAAACAAAGACACATTCACATTTTCAATTAAACTAGAAATTACAATATTCATAGTATTACTGACAATAGTATATCCAAAGAACCCAAAGTGATTGCTATTGTACATACCGTCAACTAAATCTTTAGAATACAAAAAGACCTCTTCCCTACTATCGGACAATTTCATACTACAAAATCATTTTGTTACACAATCTCCTTCAGTAAAAAACGTTAATTATTTTATTTTTCTCAAAGTTCTGTACTTGATCATTTTGAAAATTTGATCAGCTGTAATTTTTAACATTGATTTTGTTCATCCTTTAAAGATGGTCATTTTTATTGAAGTCTTTAGTGATCATCAGAGAAAACCATATCCTGTCTCTGTAATCTTTATTTTCGTTTCCGTTTCTCATAAATACTTCCCATTTGTTCATGTTGAACAAGTGCACTTCTTAGTTTTCTCCATGAATTAATAATAAATAAAATGGGAAATACAAACCATATACTATTAATACCAATAAAATAACCATAGAAATAAATTTGATTATCATGTGGTACATGAGAAAATGATTCCAAATATTCATGTAAGAAAAACATTATACAACCAAATAAATGAGATGTCGATATAATTAATATTAATACATAGCGAGATGGTGAATGACGATAGACAAAAATAGCTGTTAAAATACACAATGGACCAAGAAGAAATGCATGAAGTATTTCAATACAAATAACAGTTAAATCATTTGTAACATAACGACTATCAGCAACGGCATACTGTTTCAATGATTGAGCAAATATATTCGTTTCACTCACAAGTGTACGATGTTGTAATGCAAAATAACCCTAAATATAATTTATATTAAAATAAATGTGTAAAATATTTTATATTTTATTCTTACCTGAAATATCAAATGTAAAATACCATTGAATGTAAACCAAAATATTTGTATTAAAGATGAAAATGGTGTATCTCTCTTTTTTGTTAATTGCCATAGTAGAATGAATAACAGGAGTTGAAATGCAATAAAAATCATAAAAAGTGTCTGTCCACTATGCGTATTTGGAACATAATCATCGAGGATTAATTTGGCTGGTGTAAAAGGATGTGACATTGTTACTCTATGATAAGTAAAATTATCAAAAAAATGATGTAAAAAGTAAAAATTACTTTTTTGTCTAAATGGTAACAGATGGTTTTCTTTTTTTTTATTTAATGGAGTAAAACACATGGATTTAATGTCTATTTTATGAGGAAAAAAACGTTAGATTCTTTTTGATTCTCTCGTTCACGTTTATTATGTGAGTTATTAACAGAACAACTTCTCTTCTATTAAATAACTTGTCTTGTTATAAAGTAGAAAAGGGTAGGTGTAGGTTTGAACGATTGATCAGAATGCTAAGTAATTTTATTGTCTTGACAGTGGATTCAGAAAAATAGGACATTCATTGTAAGTAATACAAATTTTCTGGCATCTTCTTGCAACGTATTGGATAAAAATCTTCAAGAAAGCGTATTTATTTTACGCCACCATTGTTATAGTCAAGGATTCTAAAATAATAAAGGAAAGAATAATTATCTTTCAGATTGATAGTGATGATTTGAATTGAACTTCTGGCGTTTATTCATTACTCTTTCATCTTTCTATAATGTAGTCTACATAATAAAGATGTAAAGGATTTGGTATAGTAATATTGCTTTTTAATATGTTTCCACAAATCGACTTGTAATTATAAAGTTGAATGTCTTTTCTATTTGAGCCAAAACGTGCACATGGTTATTCAGTTCATACGAATAAAAGTTGGAATGCAACCTTGATGCACATCTTTGAACATTGATTAAAATTGTATATGTACGTTTGATCATTCGGCTATTGTAAAACTGACTATTATTTTTCATGCCATTTATAATCAGATTATGAACCCTACTCTATTTCATTTATCGATGTCATAGACTCATCCTTCGTAGTCAGTCACACGATATCTGTACAGAATCTGTCAAGTTTCACGATTTTACAAAACCCTGAACAGTTGTGAGCAAGATCTATAGATCGAGTTGTCTTGAACAGATTTGGAAACTTTCTTTTATTTGGAAGTTTATTTTTTTTATCGTTGTGAGGGTAAATTTCTTATCTAAGAGAACGTATTTCAGTTTTAATATACTCATTTTGGAAAGCTGAAAAATATAAATAGAAAATTTTTTTAAGTTTCCACTTAGTTTTCACGGTTGCTTAATTAGTAAAATAATTGTGGAAATACCTAAACCATAATATCACAAACACCAGTAATACTATTACGAGTGACAATCTGAAGTAATTGTTCCCGAGACCAGTTTTGAGCAAAACAGGACAACGAGGAATTACTAAATAGCGTAAATTAGCAGTGCTATCGTAAACTTGAATTTTCATATCTTTAGAATGTACTGTTCCAAATTCTTTTAAAACAGAACGAGGATTTCTAGATGCACGTGCAATGATCTTGATTTATACCATCCAGATGGAACGTCAAGCAATTGTCAAGCATAACAAGAGCAAAGAGTACATAGAATTAAATTATGAATTTTGTTAGTATTTTCTGCGACCATAAGTTCATCGTCCACTTTGTCAGGTTTCAAAAATTCAGCGATGGTACTGGTACTATGACTTAGTAGCCGTTCTTTAAGTTCAGGATTTAACCAAGCTTTCACAATAATATTTGCTCCGCTTTGCTCTACTCGGGCCTTTTGATGAGTTTCAATGCTTTTACGTAATTATTCGGAATTGATAATGTTTTTATCAATTAACGCACTTACTAATGATTCTGCTAAATGTTGAGTAGGTAATGATGTTTCTTCTCGATTTTCTGCTGTTTGTTCGAACACAGCTCTAGCCTCATGAGCATGATCGTGATTACGACGTTTGAGCTGCTGATCTCAGAGGATAACAATATACTCAAAAATTCGTGATTTTCGGCTCGTTTTCAATCGAGTTTTGGAGGTCCATTTCTTGCAGCCAAGGGAATAATTCATGCTTACCAGTATTTGTTCTATAATTCTTTCTAAAACTACTTTGTATCTTTATGCTTTTAGTTTTTCCTAGTACTATACTACTATACAAAATTATATATTTCTAAATAGATAATAAGATATAAATCACCTTTATCATAGTGAAAATAATTATTTTCTGTTAGAGACATTTTGTCTTTATTCAAAAACGGTAGAAGTACAAAATAGTAATAAATTGTCATTTTTGGATGTAATGGTTGAACGGTTCAATGATGAACTGAGTACTTATGTGTATAGATAGCCTACTCATACCGAACTATATCTTAATTGGACAAGTAATCAGTCTACAAAAATATAAAATAAATTCGATCAAATGCTTGTGTATCAGGACAAAACGGATTTATTCTACCAACGAACTATTTGAAAGAGAACTACGATACTATACACGAATCTTTAGTGCTAATGGTTATCCGGTGAACTAAGACGACGATACGACGGATTAAAATGAATAAGAACATACACAAGCCCGTTTTAACCGTCAAACATTAGACAATGTTATATTCCAATTCCTTACCATAGTATATCCTCATCAGTTTTGGCAAAGTCCACTGAAAAGATGTCTTTTGGGTTTAAAACTGTAGATACAATATTGTCTGTATTCAGCAGATCAATTCGTGAGATACAGCTGATTCTAAGAGGATGGTTTACAAATATGACTGCTGTGGATGTATGAAAAGCTATATAGGACAGACAGCGAGTGGAGTAACGATAAGAAAAGAAGAACATCAGAAAGCTCGTTATGGAACAGAATTTTCTAAGATAGCAGTTCATGGTGTGGACAGGTGTCATCGTACTAACTGGAATCAACAAATTCTTGCAGTAATCACACCTTATACAAAGAACTATCAAAGAGAGTTTGTTGATAGACACTCACACAAAACAAAATAAAAGAACAATGAATTCACAAAAAAGCTTTGATTTCAAAATATTTTTATGACGTATCCCATAGTGTACGGATAAAGTTGAAATAGAAAGTTCATTTTGTTCTATCTATTTTATTCTGTTGTTCTACATGTATTTTATTTTATCTTTTATTTTCTATCTTCTGAATCAACTCTTATCGTTTGTCACATTCGACTGATGATATCTTTTGAATAAAGACGAAACGTCTCTAACAGAAAATAGTTATTTTCATTATGATAAAGGTGGTTTATATCTTATTATCTATTTTGAAATTCTTCACCTTAAAACATGATTCAATATATGTTTCTGGTTCATCACGCCGTTGTGATTCTAATCTGTAGTTTCGAAAAAATCTAAATAAATGACTGTAGATACTGTGAAAACTTGCAATAGCAAATATACAGTTTATAAGGGTATTCGGATGCTAAATTTAAAAATAATTGTGATGGTTAGAGAATGCATTGAGTTAGACACGATGTGTAGTCTTTGATAGATTGTTTTATGTTTTTTACACAAACATTGTACCGTTTTTCAAACCCATTTCTTTTCGTTTTAATTCGATCCGATTATAGGATAATTTTCAACTCATTGGAAGACTTTCACCATTGTAGCCACGCTAGGGGCTACTCTGATAAGATTTTTATTTGTTTTTTCTTGAATTTGATTGAAGTTGTAGAGCATTGACGCGTCGCAGATGAATGTGAGTTAAGTCGTTTCAGTTTGAGACTCAGACAACGTCTACGTGCGCAATCTATTCATGATTGTGGGGATTTCCTTAACTTTTGGAATGGCTGTTGGTTAATTTTTTGGCCGCTACAGAGTCACTTATTCTGTCCGTCGCAATGACGTGATGTTACGAAGGTACCTGAGGAATATTTTTAATCATATATTTACTCGCATCTGAGTAGAATTATAGTTACATCCATATAGAAGAAAAGAGAAAAGTATAAAAATTATTTTATGCATACATAAAAATCAAGAATCTAAGTGTCAAAATTCACTGGGTAGTCAATAAGCTCTTTTTGTCTAATACTGTTCATGCGGTTTAACATTCAACTGGTAAAAAGAACAACATAAATTAGTCTTGCATAATAAAACTCAAAAAGCAAACAAACAACGAGAGAGAAAGGTGGCAGAAACCAACCTACAAAGAAACAGAAAGATTGCATCTATTATGCAGTCGTCTCAGTGAATTCTTACTATAAGAAGTTCAAGATAAGGCATAATGAGTCTATTGCAAACTTACGGAATTATCCTGGAAATAAAAGGGAGACTGCATGATTGTGTTCAATAAATGCGCGTCAGAAAGATCTACAAGTGTTAAATTTGAATTTTAAATAATATTAACTATTAAACTGTGATAATTTATTTAAACATCAAAATTTTCCATTAGATATCTGTATTAGGCATACATACACAGAAGTCGAAAAACACAAAAAACAAAAACAGTTTTTTGTCGACGTTTCAACTTTTCAAAACTCAAAACGTCGATAACAAATTATTCAAAAGACAGATTGTGTCTGAATTATTCATTTCGGTCATTTTGACCGCTCGCAGTTAAACATATCTAACGACACATGCTCGACAATCATATACCATCACTATGACCGTAAAATGAACCGCTGCCTAAGTATCCAATATTTAGGTTAATGTAGTGAGATGTGTGGACAAAGTGTCTAAAGACGAATTGACGAATCGCAACTTTTAAGCGTAAAAATGATAAAACAATTCGCGTTTTACCCTTATTTTTGCGAATTCGTACCGAATTGAGGCGAACTTTATCGAATTCGTACGGATACTCTTAAAAACTTTTACGAATTCTTCTTGCGAATTCGTAAACAGAGAATAGATCAAACACGATGCTGATCAATTC